TCCCTTCTCTCCCCTCCCGAGCTCCTCCCTTCTCTCCCCACACAGCAGAGGTGATGCAGACGCGGTGGCGCGGCAAAGGTTGCGGCGGCGTGATGGGAGGAGGCCTAACCTTCCCCTTTCCCTGACACATCAATAAGAAACAAGCTGCAGATTATCTATGTTTTACTGTATTATTGCTACCGGGCATTATTTATATTTAAGATTTAACTACTATTTTCTCATAAATAATGTTTTGAAATCTTAAATATATACTAGTATATAGTACCGAAGTACGTTACGAAAGATATAATCATGTAACTTCCATTTCATAATAATTTACAGTTCATAATAATCTAACGATTTATAGCCTCTTTTGGAATAGATGACACTACTACGAAAACCATCTTTTGTGGCGGTTATTTTAAGTTTTTGCTGGTGGAATTTGAAGCCGCCACAAAGCAAAGGCCAGTGACGCCAGCTAGCGAAAAAATATCTTTGCTGGCAGCTGTCTTAAGCTAGCCGCTAGCAAAAATGACCATTTTCGCTAGTGGCACCATTAGGTCAACTGCCAGTGAAGAGATTTTTCCCAAAAAAGAATTAAATCCACATATTCATCATGATTTTCAAAACAAAAACACCTCAACATCATTTTCAAAACAAAAAAACACATCAACATCAACAGATTCATCGATAGATCAGCAGATTCACATCAACATATTCAACAAATCAGCAGACTCACATAAAAAAATTAACATAAACAAATCCTTCACAGGAAGCAAATCGATTTCACAGCAGTCAGCATGCATCAACAAATCCTTTACAGGAAGCAAATCGATCTGGAGAGAGGCGGTCGCCGTCCTGTCGCTGCGGTCGCTGTCGAGCCGGAGAGCCGGAGAAAGGCGAAGGGAGGTGGGAGGTTGGAGGCACAGAGAGGAGAGAGCCGCGCGCCGTCACCGCTGCCAGCACGCGTCGTCACCACCGAGACCCACCACGCGCCATCCGCTGCCGCCGAGCGTCGTCACCGCTGAGCGCCGTCCCCTTGCCACTGCCGAGCCCCTACCCCGTGCCGCCGCCGCCGAGCCCCCTCCCCGGTCTCCGCCACCACAGATCTGGGGGGAGATGGCGGATTTGGGAGAGGAGAGGGCGGATCTGGACTCGTACCTATCTAGCCTCCGCCCATCCCGCACCAGCACCGGCATCCTCCTCCCATCCCGCGCCGCAGCCTCTGTTGTCGCCGCCGCCGCCTCCCCTCCCCCATCCGGATTTGAGAGAAGGAGGGTAGCCGCGCAGAGAGGAGAGAGTTGTATGCCATTGGTAGGACGGACCTTCTAAAAAGAGTGGCATGCTAGTGGAGCATTTTATAGAAAATAGTACAAATTCCAGTTAGATCAAAACGTACTACAGTACAACTTTTTAACGATGATTCTTAAAAAGCAGTCAGTTGTAGAGTTGTAGGTAAGATTGAGCATGCATGGCCCATACCAAATTTCAATAACAGAATCTTTTGTGCGTAGAGAGAGAGAGGGGGGGAGAGTAGAGGGAGAAGATAGATCTCCCCTCTGCCACCCCTTGTTCCTTCTATCGTTCAAAACATGAGCCATATCAGACTCTTGACACGGTTAATGACATTTTTTTTCCCTTGTTCCATAGCAGTATGAAATTTGTTTCTGTATATGTGCATTGAAAAAACAATTGCAGCTGTAAGCCTGAAATTATGCCTTGATCAATTTGCAACTAGTCCCTTTGTTTCATATGAAAAGATGTTTTGCCTTTTTATAAGTTAAACTTTTAACTAAGTTTATAGAAAAATATAGTAACTCTTAAAACACAAAATTAATTTCATTAAATATATTTTGATAATATGTTTATTTAATATTGAAAATATTGTTATGTTTTTCTATGAACTGATAGTCAAATGACTTGGAAAAAAAAAGTTAAAATGTTTTATAGTACGAAGCGAAGGAGTAGATATATAAAGTCCGGTGAAATTATTAACACAATATTTGTCAGGAATTGGTGACAAATCGATCGGTCACCGGTGACCGCGCGTCGCACAGAAAAACGATCGGGCATGCGTGAATGGCCACTGGCCACGTAGCTGAATTCCAAATAAACCAAATCTTAACCCTGTTGCCTCTGGGAAGTATCGAAAAGGATCCAACTATAGACAGATCACAGATAGAGTTCTTTCCGTTTCCATCTTTACCTTCGTCTTTAGCTATAAATCTGGACACACAGTTATTCAAATTTATAGCTAAAAAATATTTATATTTTGGAACGAGAGAGTCCTAGCGGTTCCATCAAGATTCAAATCAAGACGAAGAAAACAGAAAACATGGAATGATTGATTTTGCATTCGTCCTAAAACATAAACAGTAGTACCACAGTAATTTGGAGTATCTCAGTAGTCACTAGTCAGTACAGCTTTATAGGTCACGGGTGAGGAAGTTCAATCTGCAATAGTTAATCACGGAGGTGTACTCTTGATTCTCTCCGTACGTGCAGGCAGATGATTAATACTATTGTGAAGCAGTGCATAGAAATTGGCAAAACACTGTGCAACATCTAGGAGGAAGTACGGGCAATTTTGGTTTCTTACAATAATATGGTAGGGTAAGAAATCAAATGTTTGGCCATCACATTTTTGGTAAAAAAAATTGCTTTTAATCCTGACTATTATTGAAGTTGCCAATTAATTGGTTGTGCATACTTTTATCAGTCCAAAATAGCTCAAGAAGTAGTTAAAGCACTAATTAATTAACGAGTGTAGCTTATATTTATGGCATCTATTTTTTTGAATGAAAAATAGTAAAATCGTTTTTACATGTAAATTATCACCTATTTCATTGTAATTATATTGTAAGGTTTAATATTTACATTATATTTTTTCTAATATACCATGTATATAGAATTAGAATTAAAAGTAATTTATTATCAACTGAAAATAGGACATAGAAGGATACTTACATATAGACGACATAGGAAAGAGATGATGAAAAAATGTGGCGTCATAATTTTAGCAATACCGTTAATAATTCATATGTGTTACTCATTACATGGTGCATGCTCAAGTGGACTATGAGTTGAGTAAAATCCATCACTGGTCTCTAAACTTGTACCGATGTATCATCCCGGTCTCTAAACTCGCAAATCGACCATTCATGTCCTCAAACTTGTTTGACTGTGTCATCCTGGTCCCTAAACTTGCAGATCACTCGTTTAGGTCCTCCAACTTATTCAGTTATGTCACCCGGTCCCTAAACTTGGATTTGAATATCATCTGGGTCAAATAGGACGGTATAAAAACTTTATATTTAAAAATAATTCATATTTTTTTCATGTGAACTCTAATGAAGGCAAACTTTATATCAAATTTGTAGCCCTCGACGCGATCTACAACTTTGTAGTTGAATTTTTTTTATTGTAAGTCATTTTTTGTCCCAAAATGTAATTTTAAAATTAAAATTTCAAAATCTATAAATATGCAACAATATTTTGGGACCCTAAACAGTTTTAATTAAAAAACTTTTCAACTACAAAGTTGCAGGTCACGTCGAGGGTTACAATTTTGATACAAAGTTTGTCTTCATTAGAGTTCACATAAAAAAGTTATGAATTATTTTTTGATATAAAGTTTTTAGACCGTCTTGTTTAGGGACCAGGGTGACACAACTGAACAAGTTGGAGGACCTAAACGAGTCATCTACAAGTTTAGGGACCGGGATGATACAGGCGAACAAGCTTGAGGACCTGAACGGTCGATTTGCAAGTTTAGGGACCGGGATGACACAGCGGTATAAGTTTAGGGACCGGTGATGGACTTTACTCTTATGAGTTCATGATAACCTCACTCAGTGTAATTATTCACGTACTCGATCGGTTTGGCAAATAACTTTTCTTTTAATTTATTTACAAAGTGATAATATTTTTGTCAAAAAAAATCATATTTTTATCCCAACTAAATTAGCAGGGGGTAATTGTTAGATACACGATAGTTAGATATACATATAACATATTCTGTCAAAAAGAAAGTGTGTACATCTATACAAAAGAACTTGCGTTTCTCGTTGCCAATGCCTCACCACCAAATTAAACACACATCCATGACAATATGACATATGTCGAGGATGAATCGAATTCCTCACTCATTTAAGTTGCACAGTATGAGGCCCATCGATCGAGATGCGAATTTTATATGAAGGCCCATAAGTCAATGGCGATGACGCCCGATGATCATCGGGTGGGCCTCTTTGATCGTGTAAACCTTCAGTTTCTGGGCTTACCTCTTGATTCCTTTTTGTTGGGCTCTGTCTGAAACTCTGAATGGATCTGGCCTTTTCCCAGCTTTACACAGTACATTGAATTAGAAAAAGTACACCGAAGGTCCCTCAACTTGTCATCAAGTTACAAAATCGTCCCCTAACCGCAAAACCAGATATCCGGTGTCCCTTAACTAATCAAAACCGGTCACAGCAGATCCTTCGGTGGCTTTGACCTCGATTTTATCCTACATATCGGCTGAGTTAGCGTGGGACCCACATGGGCCCCACATGTCAGTGTGGCCACGTCAGCATCCTCTCTCTTTCCCTCTTCTCTCCCTTCCTCATATCTCACTCACTTCTCTGCGGCACGACGGCATGGTGTAGGACGGCAGCTCGTTCAGCGGTGCGACGACCCTGGCGCGGGGGCAGAGCGGCCGTGCAACGGCGCTGTCTGGCGAAGGATGGCCGCGTCAGCGCAGTCGTGCGAATCCTGGGCGGCGGTTTCGGCGTGGGCTGCCCGGCAGCAGCCATGTGCCGTGGCAGCGCGGCGCGGCGGCCGGCGACGCGGGGGCAGCGGCAAGGACGGATGAGAATCCGAGGATACGGAGGCAGCGGTGAGGAGGGATGGGGATCCAGGGACGTAGGGGCGGAGAGGTAGCCGTCGAGCTCGGCCCCGGCCGAGCTTTGCCGCCGCCACCGCTCGCTGGGCTTGGTCAAGGGAGGGGCCGGTGAGCCCGTTCGGACAGTGAGGAGAAAGCCATGCCCACCTTCCCCTTCCCCACGGCGCAGATGAATGCCGAAGAAGAGATGGAATCTGAGACAGGAACGACAGCGGTTGGAGTGTGCTGGGGCATGAGCGGCGACAACCTGCCGCCGGCGAGCAAAGTCACCGAGATGCTCCGAGAGAACGGCTTCACCGTCGTCCGCCTCTACACGCCGGACAGCGCCGCTCTCGTGGCGCTCGGCAGCACAGGCATCTGCGTCGTCGTCGGTGCGCCCAACTACGACCTCCCCGCCCTGGCGCACGGCAGGACAGCCGCCACGGCCGCCTGGATCCGCGAGAACATCCAGGCCTACCCGACGGTGTTATTCCGGTTCGTCGTCGTGGGCAACGAGGTCTCCAGCGCCGACATGCAGCTCCTCGTCCCGGCCATGGAGACGTCCACGCCGCGCTCGCGGCGGCTGGTTTGGGACACATCAAGGTGACGACGTCGTCCGCCTGCGCCAGCCTGCCGCCATGCAGCTGCTCCCCCGCGCAGCTGTTCCCCCGCTGGAGCCCGTGAAGAAGAGAGGAGAGAGGAATAGAGGTAGGGAGGGGAGGTGAAGAAGAGGCTGATGCGTGGGGCCCACGTGGATCCCACGCTGAGTCCACTGCCATGTCGGATAAAACCGGAGTCAAAACCGCCGAGGGACCTAGTTTGCACTGGTTTTGTAAGTTGGGGGATACGTTGTATCCGGTTTTACGGTTGGGTGACGATTTTGTAACTCGATGACAAGTTGAGGGACCTTCGGTGTACTTTTTTCCATTGAATTCGAAAGCAAGCATTGTGCGATCAGGTTCAAAATTTATGATTGAAATACAATTTGAATAGTGAAAGGATTATCGAGTGGTATCTTCCATGCTATGGTATTGTATAAAATACATGATTTTGACAAAAATATATGTGCAGAACAGAGTATTATAATGATACAAATAGAACTCAAACGTCTTCCTAGAAATTTTCTATAGGATTGTTCAATTCTTTGTTTGAAGGTCTCCCTAGAAATTCCCATAGGATTAAAATTCTTTAATTTCCTATGTTTTCCTACAAATCAAATAGGTTTAAAATAGAGAATTGCAAAATGCATAAAAATATAGGAATGATGGCTTGGTTAGACTGCAGGAAAAATATAGGATGGTGAGGAGAGAAAAAGACTCAAAGAAAACTTTTCATGAAAACATGATGTATGGATTGAGGCATCTTATATGGATTTCATATGATCCAATAGCGTGCAGTCCTTTATTTCAAAGGTCCGTTTAGGAAAAAAATGTCCATTAAAATTAAAATCATACAAGACCTTTTGAAACAATCATATAGAAAATTCACACGATCCCATAGGATATCAGAGTACCTACCGTTCATGGTAACATAAATCTAAACGTAAATCCCATAGGATTGTTCATATTCGATCGATCTAAATTCACACATAAATCCAAACGTTTGCATGAAAGCATTAGTATCATTCTAACAACTGCATTAGCCATTTTGACGTTCGTTTCATTTCTTTTCTCGCTGGTCTCACCATGTTCATGTTGTTGTCACACATTGACTTAATTTCATATCATCCTTCTTGTTCCCGGGTGAATCCGGTGAAGACAGAACTTGTCACCCGGTTGAAATTAGCCAAATTAGCCAAATCCAGTGGTGGTTTGTTACCGAGAAAAAGATTTATGAGTTTGATGACAGGAGAAAAAGATTTAAAAGAACATTCGATGTATAGCACCAAAAATAACTTGGTACTATAAGAATTTTTCTTCGACCAAAAGCATAGACTACCAGTTTTTCTTTAACCTATAGCACTTCTGTTGTATTTTGAGGTGGCGACGTTAGATCGGGGTAGAGAAAATTATCCTCAGTCTCATTTGCCATTCGTTTTCCACACCACATACACTCATCTCTTTCCTGTTCCTCATCTCCTCTTTCTCGTTCCCCATCTCCTCGTTCTACTAAGCATTATCGCTTGAAAAAAAGAAATATATGTTAAATCCTATTCTGGACACAAGACAAGTTCTATCTTATTCCATGTTCTAGATAAGTTCTACTCATGCCTTTACCTAGCAGGTAGCTCCCTTTAATCCACCGTCGTGAGCAAGCCACCAACTGCCGCTATCGTTAAGCAAGCTGCCAGTTGTCGTCGTCAAACAAGCTGCTAGCTGCCATCATCAGCGGCGTGACCACCGTCGCCCTTTGCCCAACGTGGAATGCCTTACAAGCAACCGCCGCCATTGCCCTTTCTCTTCCGTGGTGTGCGACATTACGGCTCTGTTCTTTTGGAGGGGTTGGTAACCCCTCCTCTCTTCATAAAAAACGGAGCGATAGATTAACACACGATTAATTAAGTATTAGCCATAGAAAACTTTAAAAATTGATTAATATGATTTTTTAAAGCAACTTTCTTGTATAAACTTTTTGCAAAACGTGTACCGTTTAGCAGTTTGAAAAGTGTGTATGTGGAAAATGAGGGAAATGGGTTGGGAACCCATGAGAAAGAACACAACCTAAGTATGATGGAACGAACATCAGCCTAACCATGATTGCTATGCTAGACATACATGACCAGGGGAAAATTAGTATATCTAAAAATAAGTGCTGACTCACGGCTAAACACTCCACCATATTTATGGTTGTCATGGAAGTGCTATGAGTCAAATAAAAACTGGTGGTCTGTGCTTCTGGTCGAAAACAAAAGGTTCTTTTTTTTTGCCGGATTGTTTTCTTCTTACGTATCAAATTTTCTCCAAATTAGAGGCATCGCCCGTCCCTCACCCTCTCGACCACATGTCGTCTTAGATAGTTGAATTGCAGGGGCCATCGTTCAACCTGAAGGTACATGAGTGCTACAATCAACAAGATGAGACGGACCCTCTTAACCTGTAGGGAGAGGCCACATCAATAGTTGCCGTTGCTCTTGGCACTATTCCCTACCCCTTTCCTTATTTCATTGTGATATGAAGAAAATATAAGACAATGAGCGAAATGATAGTGATACTGTTCTTTTTGGTTAAGATGTAGTTTCTATCTCGGTTTTCATCGGTACTTATTTCAAAACCGCTAAAACGGTGTGTTTTGTATGAAAACTTTCTATATAGAAACTGCTCTAAACTATCAAATAAATCCATTTGTAATAATTAAATTTTAGTAATTCATAGGGCGTTAATGCTTTTCTTGTTGTACGAATCATCAGCTTCGAACAGAACCCACGAGCGTCGATTTTCAATCTGACGCCGCTTGTAGATGCATTGACTGTCCTGCAGTACTGCCTGGCGAGCCCAACCCCCACGGCCGTGCCAAGTCGTCGCATCGCACCAGGCGATCTCGTCGTCCCTTTCCTTGTCGCAAACCGCGCTGGCCCCTCTGCAAACTCGTCTCGTACCGTACCCCAAAAAAGCCCAAATCCCTCACTCCACCCGCGTGATCTCGCAGGGGCAATCCGGTAAAACTCCTCCCTGCCTCCTCCTCCTCTCCTCCGCCTCAACGCAACGCGCGTGCTGCTGCGCCGCGCCGCGCCTCGCCTCGCCTCGCCTGTGTGTCTCTCTCTCCCCCACAGTGCGCAGCACAGCACAGGTTGTGTGACGCAGGGAAAGGAAAGCGGGGGACGAGGAGAGGGGAAAAAAAAGGAAGGAAGGAGTTACTACTCCCCGCACCAAAAACCAGGCGCCAGCAGCAGCAGCAACCAGCAAGCGGAGAGGAGATGGAGACTACTACTCCTCCTACTTGCACCGCAGCCGCAGCCGCAGCCCACCACCACCGTCCGCGCGCGCGGCTGCCTCCGCAACGCAACGAGGAGAAGAGTCGAGGAGCCCAACCACCACCCGAGACTTGACCCCCACCCGCGACTCTCATTCGATCACGCGGCGCCCACCCACGCTTTTACCCCTTCCTGGTTTCCTCTCCCCTCCTCCCCCTTCCCCTCCCCGCGCGATCTCCCCAAACCCTAGAAACCCCCCTCCTCCGCCGCGGCGGCGCCGGCGGCGGGGTGTGACGCCGCGGTGGGGGGACGGGGATGGAGGCGGCGGCGGCGGCGGCCGCCGTGCCGGAGGAGCTGCGGTGCAAGCGCTCCGACGGCAAGCAGTGGCGATGCAGCGCGCCCTCCATGCCCGACAAGACCGTCTGCGAGAAGCACTACGTCCAGGCCAAGAAGCGCGCCGCCTCCTCCGCGCTCCGGGCCTCCCTCCGCAGGTCCTCCGCCTCCGCCTCCGCCGCGCGGGGCACGACCCCGCCTGCGCGGATGGCGGTCGCGAGGCCCATCTACGGCAGGGTCGCGGGGGAGCCGGTGTACGTGGCGGAGCCGGCGCTGCCGCCGCCGCCGCCGCCGCCACGGAGGAGGCAGCCGGTCCACGGGCTGCCCATGGGCAATGCTGCCGGCGCGCGCACCGCGGCGGTGAGTTGGGTTCCGGGACGCGTTCTAGTTTTGGGTAAATCCACGGTGTGCTTGGTGCTGATTGATTCGTCGTGCCTTGTGATGGTAGGAGCTGGTCGGGAGGGGCTCGGCGGGGCTGGTTGCCTGCAGCTCGGCGGCGGGGGCGGCAGCGGCCGCAACCTGCCATCAGTGCCGGAGGGTCGCTAATACCATTTGTTGTACAAGCTGCGACAGAAGGGGGTACTGCACCAACTGCATCTCGAGATGGTATGCTCCGGTATATGTTGTGCTGTTATAGAGTAAATTTTAGTTCCCCATAAGGATGATTTCCGAGTAGATTCAGAACAGGCTTGAGGACTGACCATTTGTAACTATTATTAGAGAATTTTATTTTCAGCACTCAGTTTTTGTGTTCTAAAAGTCCCTGCTAGGTGCAGGGTAGCCACCGCGATTAAGCATTAGATGGTGGATTATGCAGCTAACCTGCCTTGGGGGCTATTCTGCTGCTACTTTAGTGTTATATCGTGTATTTTTATGTAATATGCTTGCTAATTGCTTGGAATTCTCTGGTCGAGTTTGCCCTAGGCAGAGCCCTTGCCGACCTATTAGAATCTAGCATCTTCTTCAACTATGTGTGCAGCTTATGATTAGTATATGATCACACTGAAAGAATTATTCCTCAGAAGTTGTTGCTAGACAATTAATGTTTGTGATCACACTGCGGTTAGTAATGGTAATTCCCAAACTATCATCTTATTGTTCACATAGAAAACCCTTGTGTATACAATGTTTTTTTTTTTTAAAAAAAAAACTGTTTTAGGGCATTCTATTCCAATATGCAGCCAAAGCACATGGATATTTTACTAGTTACCTTATTAATTTCAGAAGTACAATCTTCGCCTTGTCTTTTAAAGGCTAATTTTTCCCCATCGGCTCACTCAAAATCACCAAATGCAAAGGCAATGGCTATCCGGACACCACAGACCTATCATATGAAGTACTCCCTCCAGTCACAGAAAAACTGTCCTCGTTGGAAGTGTGAAGCCAAACTATTGAAAATTGACCAGGACATCCTTGTGATTATTTGGCCAGATTTCATATATCTAGCCATCTGGATACTTTTGGATCATTACATGCATTATGTTGTCCTACACTTTTTTAATGTTACCATGAACTGTAGGTACTCTGATATCCCAATTGATGATGTTCGAAAGGTTTGTCCAGCATGTCGTGGCATTTGTAACTGCAGAGTTTGCTTACTAGGAGATAATGTAATAAAGGTATTTAACCTTTACCAAGAGTTTTTCCCTTCTCCGTTGCCATATTTATTTATTATTTTTATGCTGACTGATTTTTCTTAAATTTATTATTTTCACTCTTAAATCACAAGGCAAGGGTTCAGGAGATATCTGCTGTAGATAAGTTGGAATATCTTCATAGCATTCTGGCATCTGTCCTTCCAGTATTAAAGCAGATTTATTCTGATCAATGTTTCGAAATTGGTGTTGATACAAAAGCTTATGGTATTCCAGTTCCCCTCTTAACATTCTTTTCTGTTATTTTCATCCGAATAATCTCATATTTCTAACACTAGCGCACCATATTCTTTGTGTAGGACTTAGGACAGATATAATCAGGGCGAAGGTCAATCCTGATGAGCAAATGTGCTGGTACTGTCTGTTGCTTATTTTTCACAAGAAGATTCTTATTTCTATGCTTTGGCTTGTAGTGATACCTCAAATTATCCTCGCAGTGACTTCTGCAAAGTGCCAGTATTTGATTATCACCGACACTGCCCAAGGTGTTTGTATGACTTATGTCTTGACTGTTGTCGAGACATAAGGCGATCTAGGACCAGTGTTGCAAGAGGAGAATATGCTGAAGGTCGTGTGGTAGATAGAAGTAAAGATACTTCGAATAAAAGAGCAAGAATGGAACCATCTGCAGAAAGTGCAAATGATAAGTCAGTCCCACAACGAAGGGACATAAAAAATATTGACATTAGATCTTTATTCCCTACATGGAGAGTCAATAATGATGGAAGCATTACTTGTGGGCCTCATGAGGCTGGTGGTTGTGGCTCCTCGAAGTTAGTGTTAAGGCGAATATTCAAAATAAACTGGATTAGTAAGCTTGTAAAAAATTCTGAGGAAATGGTCAATGGTTGTAAAGTACATGTTCTTGAGAATGGATGCTCATCCTGCAATGATGGCAGAACATTAGAGTTAACTGGTCATCGTAACTTTGGTGTCTCAACATGTTCAAATAATGGTGGTATTGATCGGTTCTGTGTGTTCTCTCCTGTATTAGAGGACTTGAAATCTGAAGGTATTATTCATTTTCGTAAACACTGGATAAAAGGAGAACCTGTAGTTATCAGGAATGCGTTTGAGCCTTCTCTGTCATCAAGCTGGGACCCACTAAATATTTGGCGAGGAATCCAGGAAATCATGGATGAAGAAGTGGATGACGATGTCATTGTCAAAGCTGTGGATTGCTCAAACCAAGCAGAGGTTAGCAGGAAATTTTAGTTGCTAATTTGTCTTTCTGAACAAAAGTTACTCTTTTTAGATAGAGGAATAGATTTATCTCGCCTTCTGCATAAGGCACGCGAACAAAAAAGTTGCTTCCTATTTGAATTCACTGTGCCTCCTGTTTGCACTATATAGATTCCCAAGTGCTATGACTTCTATTCTGGGATGTTGCCATGCTATTAACTTTTAGTGCTACTGCTAGTCTATTTGAATATGAATTCATGATCATAGCACGTATTACTCATCTGGCAAATATGTAACATAGAAGTGATGGATTGGATAACTTTTTCTAGCTACCAAGTCTTAGTACTATGATCATCTGAACAATATATCCTGTGTTCTATTTCTTTTCAGGTGGATATTGAGCTGAAACAGTTTATCAAAGGTTATTCAGATGGTCACAAGGGGGAAGATGGGGAATTGATGATGCTGAAATTGAAAGAGTGGCCCCCACCCAGTGTATTGGAGGAGTTTCTGCTATGCCAAAGACCAGAATTTATTGTCAATTTTCCATTAGTTGATTTTATACATTCCAGGTGGGGGCTCCTAAATCTTTCTGCTAAATTGCCCCCAGACACCCTACAACCTGAAGTTGGCTTGAAGCTGTTAATTGCATATGGAAGACATCAAGAAGCTGGTAAAGGTGATTCAGTGACAAATCTAATGATTAACATGGCTGATGTGGTAAGTAGGGCTTTCTAGATTCACTTCGAGTTTCTTGTGATTTTGTTGCAAAGGGAGGAGGCAAGAACATGCGATTTTCTTTTAGATCCTGTTCGAAGATTCGTGCTGTCAAGCACCAGAGTAAAGGTAAAGGGTGGGGAGGGGAAAGAGAAGGTTGGGGAGGGGAAAGAGAGGGTGCTCCGAGGTTATGGTAGGAAGCCAGGCTGGCGTGTGGCACTGCCCTGTGTGCCGGTTGGGTGAGAGCAGTGGGTTGGGTCGAGGTTGGGGGAAACGAAGAACACAAGCGTGAATAGATTGGGGCAGTTAAAGGGCATCAGGGGATGCCCGGATGGGCAGGAAGTGGATTAGGGAGTTGTCTGATCTGTTGGATATTTATCCAATGGTCAGAAAGGAGAATGCTTGAGGGAGAAAAAAAACATTTGAATTCTAAACAGATAAGTGCATGAAATAAAAGTCATCTGATACATGTGCTATTTATTCCTCTTGTAGGTGCATATGCTAATGCATACAGCCAAAGGGCATGACGTATGTCCAAAGAGGCTACAACCTGAGCGATCTGAAAAGATTGCCAATGGAATGACAATGCATGTAAATGCTCATGCACCTGTTCAAAATTTGAATGTGGATATGGGGGAACAATCACCTGACCATGTAAGCTCAAAGTTTGATGAAAGAGCGCATGCGTCTGCCTTGCGATTACAAGAGAAGTCTTCAGATGCCAAACTTAATTGTGGTTTCGAAGGCTCTTCAACTGAGTTATCTTGCTCGTCACATTCAGAGGAACCAAAAGTTAATGGTTCAGAAAGAAGTCAGGCTGGTTCTGTTTGGGATGTGTTCCGCAGGCAGGATATTTCAAAGCTGAATGAATATTTAACTGCTAACTGGGAAGAACTGGCAGCTAGTAGTCAGGTAGCGCTCTCTGTAATGACATCACAATTCTTTATGACGGATATTGTTGACATATCCTTGAGAAAGCTATTTCATGATTATCTGTTTTTGTTGCAGGTTAAGAATCCTATTTATGAACAATCTATATATCTCAACAAGTATCATAAAAGGATACTGAAGGATCAATATGGTAAGCACAAAGTACGGCATGGATGATTGTCGCTTCTAAATTGGCAGATGATTTAGCTGTGAACTTATCATTACTGATATGCCATAGCATCTCATTTCATGTAGTTACTTCACTCACTCCTCAGACTTTGTGTCCATATTCCAAAGAAAACATTTCATTGCAATACCAAAGCAAATAGACAATAGCTGTCTAAATTTCCAGTAACCAATAAGACTCCATTGGTTCTTTGCTTGAAGGGCAACCAAGTGCTGCAGTCTGCTTTGCTAGGATCTGCTTGCTGCCTGATCTCTGATTTCCGTGCTACAGTACATGCGCTTAGTGAACCATGCAGAATGCTAATAATATTTATGAGGATAATCTCAGGCTATTGAAATTTAGTTCTATCTTATTAATGTGGTTCTAAGTTACTTTTTGTGAGAGCCTTAATTTGGATCTTGTTACAGGAATTGAACCCTGGACATTCCAACAACATATCGGTGAGGCTGTATTTGTTCCTGCTGGCTGCCCATTCCAAGTGAAAAATCTCCAGGTGTGATTCTTCCGTTCCTCGTATTTGCCCTTTTATTGTCCTTAAATATTTTTGTTTGCTTTGTAAGTGATCATTTAGAATATGCAACCTAAATATGTGAAGATTTTGGATAAAGCATAATTTTTGCTCCATCAAATTCTTACCATGGTACTCCAAACACTAATTATGTGCTCATACTTCCCTTCTCTGTATGGTCAAAAGCTTTCTTCTATGAATAAAGAATGTGCTGATGTGAATGTCGATTTGGGTAAACAATCTCTATGGCGGTTAAAAATTGGGCAAATGAACTATAAAAAACAAAAAATGCAGGGTTTTCATATAATCATATGTTTAATTATCTAGTGATTTGGATGTAGACATACCAAAAGAATAAATACAGATAGAAAATAGATGCTGGGAGGCATCGATGCTTAGGGAGCACATGATAATTGCACATGGTGTTGATTCTCTCTCACTGGAGAGTTAAATCTTCTCTTTTTTCTTCAAAATGTTTCAGTCTACGGTTCAATTGGCTCTTGATTTCCTGTCACCGGAAAGTTTGGGGGAGTCGGCCCGAATGGCCCAGGAGATTCGCTGCCTACCAAATGATCATGATGCAAAACTGAAGATGCTCGAGGTACCTGACTAGTACTAATCTGGTTATAAGTTGACTTCATGCCTAACTTTCTTAGGTTTTGGAGAACCTGAAAAAAGTTTTGTCCCTGTACAGATTGGAAAAATCTCTTTATATGCAGCTAGTTCTGCTGTCAGAGAAATTCAGAGAATAACCCTCGATCCCAAGTAAGTGGATTATTTCTTGGAGTATTAGAGAAAGTTTCACCTGTTGTGTTCATTTCTTTATGCATTGCCTGCCAGCTTGGAATTATATCTTGAGCACCGTCATCAAATTATTAAAACTTTGAACTATAACATCTCGAACAACTTTGCTATTTACCCGTACAAATTATAATCAGTTTCCTTCGCATTTTCTCAGGTTTAATCTAGACCTTAAATTCGAGGATCAGAATCTAACTCAGGCGGTTTCTGAGAACTTGGCTAGAGTCACCAAACAACGGAATGTACCATGCAGCTGAGATACTCCATTTAAATTAGATATAGCAATTGTACATGTATTACATGGTGTCATATGAAAGGAACACAATGACACATTCTAATTGTTATCAGATAGCATAAGCCCTCACCTGTATATTGGAATTGGACTAGGACTAACGGCTGAGCTCATGTAAACAGAATAAACGTGGAGCAATTATTTAGCATTAGATTGTCAGAATGAGATTTACTGGGTTGCTTAGAGACTGTCACTTTGATACAACTAATTCTTCTGCCGCTTCTGGGAGAAATTTTACATCTGTTGACTGTTATTAAGTAACTTTGCTTAACATGTTGAACTTGTTACAGTGAGCAATCTGTATTCTGGAGATTGGCACTGTTTTATCATGGTGAATGTGCATTTTCTCGAAAGAGAACTAGTCTCCTTCCATTGCAGATGAACTAGCTTACGAAGTACTCCCTCCGTCCCATAATATAAGGGATTTTGAGTTTTTGCTTGTCCTGTTTGACCACTCACCTTATTAAAAAAATTTGTGCAAATATAAAAAACGAAAAGTTGTGCTTAAAGTACTTTGGATAATAAAGCAAGTCACAAAAAAAATAAATAACTCTAAAATTTTTTGAATAAGACGAGTGATCAAAGAGTACAGATAAAAACTCAAAATCCCTTATATTATGGGACGGAGGGAGTAGTGCATTTGTGTGACTCCAACCATCTTGTTGCTAGTGATAATAAGTTTTGAAAGAAGTGTTGTTTTAAGAGATACTATGTTTGTTGAGTAATTTTCAACGTAATTTCTTTTTAGCGTTAGTTTTTAAGTCGCTACGAATAAATACGTAAAAAAGTTATCTATATTTTAATTTTATTCTCTAATAAGACATTCTGGCTTATTAGTTAATATGGGCAAAGGCTCTAACCATTGGCAAAATTTAACATTTAAAACTTAACTTTGGAGATAATTTTATGATGTTTTCAATGAAATATATTTTATTGTATTGGCTTTTAAGTTGCTTAGGACTCATCTCTACTGTTATAAAAATTGAAGGTTTTTACCGGTACTTTGGTACGTCATTCGTGTATAAGTATGTTATTTTGTGTTATTATGTATGAGTCGGTTTTTAATGTCGTTCGCTTTTGGAAATATAGAAGAACACATATAAGAAATCTCTTTAAATAAACTTGCATGCTAACTTGAGACGATCAAACTCCTAACTATAAGTCATGTTTTTCTAAAAATATATATATCCAAGTGAATTCCCACAGTGAATTTTACCTTAACTAAACCATAATAACAATAATAAGATTACCGTTGCATTGCATGGGCATATTTTTCTAGTAAATACTCCCTCCGTCAGATTTTGGAGTAATGTGATACTATAACCTAATACAACGAATCTGGATAGGCTCATCGTCTAGATTCATAGTACTAAGTTATGTCATATCCCTCTAAAACCCCTTATATTATGAGACGGAGGGAATATAAATTAAATTGTTTTTGTCCTAATAATTTGTGTAGCTTGTAATCACCTCATGGCCAATCGATGATTGTTAAGTCTCGTGGTAATTTCAGACACAAGTTTGAACGGTTTTGCTATTTTACTTGTGACATATTTTTAGGCTCTTGTCTTTCACTTTTTAGTTCATAGGATCTTGCATCTTGTATATCTTTTTAATTACACATGGTTACAGAGTTATATTGTACTTATATTGAGTTGTAGTGCACTTGCACTCAATTACAGTGCACAAAAAATAGATGTTGGAATTAATGTTTTTCTCTAAATTTATGATTTTTTTGACACGATTGTCTCTTTTTTTAAAAAAATTCATTTAAAACAGGCTATATCCCTTGGTTGAAAATTTTGCAAGATTCAAAACTATAAATTTGTCCAAAAATCATTAGTTAATTCCAGTTTGATTTGTAAAATCATGTTTTTCAGCGATGAACTTCTTCTTGTTCTACTACTACATTTTTTATTATTACGATGGACATGGCGTGAAATCTTGTAAAATTTTATGAAAAAGGTACAAGTAGTGTCCACAAGTGAAAAGAAATCGTTGAAACTGAGAAAAATTTCGTCAATATTTTGAAATTCTGCTATATTTTTTTCTAAAAAAAAGTTTGACCAGTTAACCTAGCGGTTCAAAATTTTGAAATTTTGTGAAAAATGTAATAGTACTAGCAATTTAGGCAATTGACGAAGCTTGGGACAGGAGCAGGGTTTACATTACTGGTTGACCACTAAATTTCGAGCACTATTAGTATCGCGGTTTCCAATAAATTTCGATCAGATTTCGATAAATTTTGATTGAATTTCAATCAAATCTACTGTTTAACCCTCAAAATTTCAATCGAAACTTAATTCCGAGCATGTCGCTCGCACGCCACCCCCGAAGAATCTGGAGAGATCAGCCTTCGCTTCCCCCCGAACGCCGATGGGCTTCCGCCTCGCCCACCTCGCCGCCTGCGTGGCCCGCGCCGCGGCCTCCTCCTCCCGCCTCCGGGGGCCACGCCCCGCCGCCTCCGCGCTCGTCGCCCCTCTCCTCGCCTCGCCGTGGGAGCCGAGCGGCGGCGGCCAGCCGCACTGGCTCGTCCCCTCCCGCGGCCACGTGGGCCACTCCCACCACCACCACCACGGCGAGGAGGTGGGGGGCGAGGCGTCGGAGAGGATCTTCCGGCTGGGGCTCGCGGCCGACGTCGTCCTCACCGTCGGGAAGGCCGTCACCGGCTACCTCTCCGGCAGCACCGCGATCGCCGCCGACGCCGCTCACTCCCTCTCCGACATTGTGCGTTGCCTGAGCCCTGATGACAAAATCGGTGCTCCTTTTCGGCTTGATTTTTTTTTTTGGTGCTGATTGTGCAGGGTTTTTTTGAGATGTGCAGGTGCTGAGCGGGGTGGCTCTGCTGTCGTACAAGGCGGCCAAGGCTCCCAGAGACAAGGAGCATCCGTATGGTCAGTCTCCCAATTCTCTTCTACTCTGTGATCCTCGTTTGTATACGGATGTGATTCTTGGCTATGGTGGCAGGACTGATACTTAGGTAAATGTCATGCATTGTTCTAAGCTCGTGGCAAACCGAGGGTCCAATAGATACTAATTATCTAATTATTGACTGATATACTAATTAATATGATGTAAATTAACTAGAATTGAATAATCTACCTGGGGACCTCTGACCCCAGGAATTACTATGTAGTAACGCCACTTCTAAGAGGCATCTGTCTACCAATTTATGGGAGTTTTGCAATTAGTTAACTGATATACTGACTGACAAGACGACAATCTCCTGTTCCCACTTCCTTTGTTGACATAGGCAGTTTACTTGCATTCATAATGGAATTGCAGAAACTTAGCTCCACTAGAACATAGGCTGTTACTAGGGTCATGTTTTATGTGTTAAAACTGTTAAGAATAGTCAAGGCTCATATATGATGATTAGCCTACTTTTTGAAAGAAAAAAAAAAGAATATGAAGGGAGCTGAAATCCGTCAGTTGTTTACAGTATGGAAGCTATTACTACATGTGCTTGTGCGTTATTGCAGCCACATGCATGTTCATGTGTGCAACAAGATATAAATGCTAGAAAAGTTAGTAAGGGCATTTTCTTACTGATTCTCATGTTTTTTCTAAGCTACCTGAATTGCTTGCGTTATAATAATTATTAAAGTCTACATAGAACAGCCTCCATGCCTATTTGATTTATTGTCTTGTTTGATTGCGCTAAAAGTGTTGAAGATTCCATGTCTTATTTTGCTTCCCTTCCAGGTCATGGAAAGTTTGAGAGTTTAGGAGCTCTTGGAATTTCAAGTATGTTATTAGTTACTGCAGGTGGGATTGCCTGGCATGCTTTTGACGTTCTTCAGGTCTATTACTACTCAATGTCACAATGTCAAGAACACTAAATTTATGTTTTTCAGTGATGTTGTCCTTTTTTCTTATATAATTTCTGTTTTTGTAAATTAGTGTTTGGTCCCTGATGACATATACTCCCATCATACATAATTACACATGGACTTCACATGTTGAAGTTTGTTTATTTCAGGGAGTTATGTCTTCTGCTCCAGATATTATTGGCAATGTATCGCATGCTCATCATAGCCATGGTAGCAGTGGGCATCACCATGGAATAGATTTGGAACATCCAATCCTTGCATTGAGTGTGACAGCTTTTGCAATATCTGTCAAAGAAGGGTAAGTGAGTGTTTTCTACTGTACTCATGCTGCGAAAACTGTGTAAGTTTTTCTTTTGTTGTTCTACCAGATTTTACAATCTTATCTTATGTGGTGTACTTCTTGCTGTTTTCAGCTACTAAGTGTTATTCGCTACCCTTCTTGATATTATTTTTGCCTACCATGATTTTAAATTTTATGGTCTCCTGTAATATAATGCTTGTAATTCAATGGCAGAAGTGTTTCTTTGTTAACTTTGTTGATAGTAGAATATATGTAGCTCTGAACACCTGACATTATGTTTCTATGTTTTGGCTAATGATTATTTTTCTATCCGTTTATATCCATAGCAGGTAGCAGCATCTCCTTAAAACTCTTCTGTTTTAATCTGAATTTATTTTGTTTATTAATGCACAGTTAATTATCATGCGACAAATCACATAAGAAGATCTGAAAGTGTAAAATTAAGTTACGGTCTGGAATTACAGGCTCTATTGGATCACAAAAAGAGCTGGAGAAAAGGAAGGGAGCGGGCTGATGAAAGCTAATGCATGGCACCATCGCTCAGATGCTATTTCTTCTGTTGTTGCCCTATTAGGGGTAGGTAAGACCTTAAATGAAGGCCTGAACTCCCATTTTCTAGTAGGCAAGTTTTCTTCATGTTTTAGATCCTGAATGGTAGAATGATGCATTATGAACCCCGAGCTAGAAATAGCATCCATTACTCCCTGTGTACAGTGGGGGACTGTTGGCTTTGGAAATAGTTGTATATGTATTTGACCTGGAGTTTTTATGCAATTGATATGAGAGCACTATTTTATCTTGTAGTTAGCAGTATTAAGAAAAATCACCTGGTTTATAAATTTCACCTTGAAGGTCTTACAGAAATTACAGTGTTTATGTTAAGACATTGTTTTGTTTTTCAGGTGGCTCCATTCTTGGAGTTCCTTATCTTGATCCACTAGCTGGACTTGTTGTCTCGGGCATGATTCTTAAAGCTGGTGTTCATACTGGATATGAGAGGTAACTCTCTTTTTATTGTCAAGCAGGATTGTCAATTGAACTTGTTTTGTCAGTCAGGGTTTTCAATTTAACTTGGTCATGATGAGTTCAATGATATTTTGTCAATCTCAAATCAAGAATTGTTTTCTACTCAAGGAATATTTTGTTACGCATTAGTGTTTCTTCTTGTCTAATTAATTAGGAATGTTTGGATTTTTTTTTTTTGCTGAAAATCATTTTCAAGAATGAAAGAAATTTGGTCTGTTTACATTTACTGTTCCTTGTTTAGTGCTTTACAGTCTTCACCTTTAGAAGTTTATATTCAAGCAGTAGTGGAGACAGGGAGGGGCAGGAAGGGGTCTCGCCTCCCCCAAGCACACTATATTTACTGTAGCTTTTATAAAATTTTAAACCGTTAGTATTGTTGGGCCCCTCCAACTAATAAAATCCAGTGTTTCTGCTCCGCCACTGTATTCAAGGCTAGCTTTCATGATGCTACTTGAAGTGATGATTTCACTGATGCAGTGTGCTGGAACTAGTTGATGCAGCTGTGGATCCATCGCTTCTACAACCAATCAAGGAAACAATTTTGCAGGTTGATGGTGTAAAGGTAATACAGCCTGGATAAATTTCCTTTGTGCCATCATGATTTTTAAAATGTTAAACCGATAAGTCGAAAACAATGAAAGTATTGAAATAATTCTAGGGATGCCATCGGTTGAGGGGAAGAAAAGCTGGGACCTCCTTATATCTTGATGTACACATTGAGGTACATGGCATTGTGATTTAGTTTATTGCTTTGGTATTTATTTTTTTTGGATTTCAAGATGAGAGCCCTGACAGTTTTGTAATGTGGGTGCTTAGGTGCTAAATAAGAGAAATTGATTATGATATCTGTTGTATTGTAGGTATATCCTTTCTTAAGTGTCAGTGCAGCACATGATATTGGGGAGACTGTCCGTCATCAAATACAAAAGTCACACAATCAAGTTGCTGAGGTTTTCATACACATAGGTAGCCTGCAACCTTTAAACCAGAATGCTCTCTAACCATTTGGCTACTGTACGCATTGAGTTCTTTGCATGTACTAATTGGTATCTCTAGCTTTTTTTTTAATATCGCAAACCCGTATATACATACTGCCTACTGGAATGCATTTCATTATGTGAAACAAGCTATTATTATATGTTTTGGGCAGCTACCTTGATTGTGCATTATCTTATTTTAGTCCAATCTATGGTTTGCGGGACTGCTACTAGTATGCATACTTGTTCAAAAAAAAAAGTGTATAAATACATCTTTTACTCATAGTACTACGATTATGTAAAACTGTTAGACACAGAGAATTTAGTGTTGCAGGCTTGAAATTTTAGAGTTCTAACTCTTGTGGCTTTCTGAAAAGCTGTTAGACACATGCAGTTTGTATTGCAAACGTACAGTTCTGAAGTACATGGTTGTGCAATTAACCACGAGACATGGTTGTGCAATCTTTCTCATGGTTAATTGCACAACCATGCCAAAACCCACAGCAGGAATATTTATGAAGTACATGCATTGTAGATCCTTCATATTCAGTGGAATCCAACATGGACCAAAAAGGGATTTGGGAGAATATAGAGAGAAGAAACTCAGATGCTATCCCACGACAACAAACGGCAGAAGCCATTGTGTCTTGTATAATTTCCTCCCATTTCTCAAAGGTAAATCTTTTCACAGTCCATGACAATGCGAACACCTCCCTCCTGCATCTACTGAAACCATGATTTGGTGCAGAAAATGTCACTTGAACACCTAATGCTGCATTACTTGCAAGGACGAGTGTTACTTCAGGTCGAAGTTTCAATGTCTCCAGAAATTATGATCCGGTAAATTAGCTCTTCCATTTCTATCCCAAATCTTCACCTTACAAGTTTCTAACCCTGTGTTTTTTTTTTCTCCAATTGCTCGACCCAAAGGGATGCAATGGACATTGCAAAGCAAGCGGAAGAGGAGATACTGAAGGCTGATTCCAGCATAAGCCAAGTAAGCGTACAGCTAAGATTGGGCCAGCAAATTAAGCAACTTAAGCTGCCAGGAGGCAAAAATAGAGCGAAGAATCAACAGGCACAAATGCAGTAGCGTCAGCTACACTGTCACGGTTGATTAGGCTGTTTTTTTTTTCTTTTTTTTTTCAAACATTATTCGATCGACTTCGCTTGCTGCTGAGTGCTGAGGCAGTAGACTAGTTCTAGCTTCGTACAGAGTGATCTTAGCCTGTTCAGGCTTCAGAGATACTACTATGGAGCAGTATATATATATATATATATATATATATATAGGACACTCATATGGGGCACCATGGTGCCCGGGCACCATGGTATCAAATACACAAAATCACTCAAATTTTTCAAAATTTTCAAATTGTGAGTATATACCTAGTTATAATAACTCGATTCATACCTATACCTATCAACAAAACAACTCAAATTTAACTTTATTTCACAATCCATGATTACATACCTAACTAATTATATGTATGGATGCTATATACCTAGAATCAAAATCTAACAAAAACAAGTTCAAATTCAGTTCAAACTTGCTTTGAACTAGTTAGTAAAGTAGCTAATGTTAATATCTAAGTAATTGAAAAAGTTTCATACTCATTTGAATTAGGTATATACTCAATTTCAACAATGGTGCCCGGGCACCATGGAGCACCAAACAAATTTACTATATATATATATATATATATATATATATATATATATATCCATAAAGGTTTTACTATAATAATAATGTAGAGAGCAGACATGCTTAGAGATGGCTACTGGAAGAGACTACGACCTTAACGACCGGCTGTGAACTTCCAATGTATAAATTGCCCGATACCAGGAGAGGCTGCTGCTGCTTCTCCTTTGTATCGCGGGAACACTTGTTATTTCGATGAAAATTTGAGTAATCTACCAACTATACTACCATACGAGGCTGCATTCATATTTTGATCTATATTGCACACAAGTTGGCATGTTTTTTTGCACCCAGACTGACAAAACCATGCATGCAACTGGCCAGATGCGCTAGGTTGCACCTCGGTCCTGTTCAGGATTATGGATTACTGTGACATGCTTTTTATAAGCTTCTAAAACTCTCTTCATCAGCATATCTTAGAGAGCTTGAAATCAACTTAATTATCGACTTTCTAATTCATTCGTTTTGTGTTATTATGGAACAATAATAATCATTGTAAAACCAGCTTCAGACACATCGACCTCGTCATTGGCATCCCGATCATGTGGGGTATGATAGTCTAACCATCATGTAGGGTCTACTCGTACGCACGGACGGGGTGGTGGTCTGGTGGCGTCGGCAACCACCCACACAGACGGACACAGGCTGCCTCCAATATCCATCTCGTCCCTCATCACTTCATCAGCCGGACGGAGCTCCTCCGACGTCAAAAAATGATTGTTCCAATTTTCCGTTAATGGGTCGGTCCAGCAATGGCAAGGATGCCCTAGACGAGTTTGTTATCGTTCGACTTCTGAGCTTTGCTGTTGCTTGCTTGCTTAGCGTTGCCGAGTTGTTGCTTTCTCGACTATGGAGCTCGGCTCGGGATGATCGGCGACGTGCAGAGACTGTGTGGTGGATTACGCGTGCTAGTAGCTAGTAGTACGCACGTGTAGGAAGCTGCTCCAACTGCCTAGTACAAGTGTAGGAGGTTCCTCTAACGTACGAGAGATTTGGGTCACACCTGTCAATTCTAAACCGGTCAGAAACTTTTTATATTCATTGATTTAACTATAGTAACGATAATTAGAAAAATAAATAAATTTGGTACTCCTATTTGACTAGAAATAGAAAGTCACACAAATAGTCAGAATCAAAATCAATACCACTTGTACGAAAACCATACTTAAGTCAGTCGGGAATTTCCTTCCCCGTTTTCATCCCACCCCACAAAACGATAGCACCGGGACAGGAGAGGAGAAATGAATAAAAGAAGGTATCGCACCGAGACCACCATTGCATGCAGGTGACACAACTCACAAACTGTCGCATAACAACATTGCATTGCATGGTAAGTTAAAGGACGGTAAAATGGATACAGCCACTTGCTGCTCCTACTATCATCATCAAGCTAAGCTAACATATCCACCATGGATGATCAGTGCATCATCAACGAGAACATTAAAAAAAGAAAACCCTGTTGTTAATCACAGAATGAATTTCTCTAAAAGTACGGTGTACTGCCTCTCTCGTTCTTTTCCTCTCCCGGTACAAGAGCCGCACCTACGCAAAGCCTTCACATGGCAGCAACACGCAACTCCCTCTAAACTACAGCAGCTCACCTTTGCATATCTCCCTATCTGCATAAACCGTCGCTTCCAACAATGTCACCTGATGTTCTTCTTCCTTCGGCAAGGCTGGTGTCGATCGATCACTCTCACAATGCCGAAATGGGTGTCTTCCTCGTTTGTCATCTGCGGGCACCAGACAGGCAAAAGCTCATTGCCGAGCTCCAGAGTGCATGCTCGACTTCTCGGTGTCGCTGCTGGTGGACACGGAAGCTGCCTCCTTGGTGGACTTGCGAGCTCGCTGACGAGGCCTGCTCGAGCCAGTGGGGTCAGCCTTGCGCTTCCCGCTTCCGAGGAGGCCAAAGGCGACCGCTTCAAGGGCTCTTGCCGTGGGAGGCCTGACTCTGGTTCCTTGCCTCCGAGGATTCATTGCCTGCGAAGAAGCCTGAAGATCAGGCTGAGGGTTGGCAGGTCCTCCTCTTGTTGCCTCCGGGGCATCATGAGCGATCTCGGTGTTTGAACTGGAAGTAGTCTCCTTATTCTTGAGGATGCTACCATGGTTGTCTGATGAAGGGGCGTGCGCAATTGTGACAGTCTTATCATCCTGCGGTGTTTCTAGTTTAACCTGATTAGCCACCAAATCACTAGACTGAGCTACTCCTTTGGCAGGTTTTGTATCCTCAACGGCGGTCTTCGAATGAACAGAAGCCAGTGTATCTACCTTATGCCCAGATGGCTTCTCCTTTGGCCTTGCCACATTCATCTTCTCATTTGATCTGTCATTGGCATGAGAGTTTGATGCATCCTTTATCTGCTGACATGGCTTCTCCTTGCCAGAACAGCTCGCAAGTGATTTGGATTGAAAACTACCACCAACATCAATAGCAGTTGGTTTTGATGAAGTTGATGGCAGCTTGACTTTCTCTTTTTCTAAACCGGGGCCTTTTGAGAAAGAAAAGCTGCGTCGACTGGTCTGGTCATTGCTACAGCTAGTTAGTCTTCTGCGCTTCGTCACTGGGGATAAGTACTTGCGCTTTTCAATTTTAGTTTTCTGGGGAAAGAAGCTTGTCGCACCAATTGTGTCACCATTGCCATTAGAAGAATGGCCATTAACTGGAAAAACTGAGCATGATGTAGCAGCCATATTTCGAAAAGAGTCCACTTGGCTTTCATTGTCTGCATTCTTGGATGAAACCATTTCAGTGCCATTCTCATCAGCTGTAACTCCTGCGTAGCCTTCCTTGTAATCTGATGATCTGTCATCTGTGTCATGTTCGTCTGAGGAACTATCACTCACCATATTATGTGTATGACGCAAAGGGCCAAAACTAATATTTGCATCAGCAGGCAAGTTCCTCAGCTCCCTCACTTGCGAGGGCTCTTCCCCTTGGACCAAGCTAGTATCGATTATTGTAAACTTTGGAAGCTCGTGATAGCCATCGAAAGGAACATCTTGGTTCAGTTTCATGGCTGTGTCAAAGCCATTTTTCTCAGCATTAACACCATTGCCCATTCCATCAACCTCTATCTCAAGAAGAACAGGGTCTGCTACCACTTTCTTGAGGACATCACTAACAGAATCAAAATAATGAGTGCCTTTTGTAAGTTCACTTCTTGAAAACCTTTGAATACCAGGCACAATGAATACAAGGCAATTCTTCGTTGTGCTGACATCATTTGGCTTCTCTGAGTGCCACCCTCTTGCAAGCAAACGAGGCCAGACAGCTTCCCAAAAAAGATCATTTGATCTTGTCTTGCTTCTTCTGAAATCACCCGTTAAGAATTTGATTATATCTTCTGAAGCAAGAGAGGAACAATCTTTGCCTGCAGGCATGCCGGGCTGAACAGAAAGGACTTGGTTTGGTTTGGATGGGTCCAAAACAAAACCAGTCAAATCATCCTTCCCTTTACCGATCGCAACCGCCTCAACAAAAGCTTCTATTCCAACAACAGATTTCAGATGAAAAACAAAATCCATTAATGATGTTTGGCTGTCGTTGAAAGATTTGAACATCTGCAACATGAAAAAAACAATGCAACTCATATAGCACTGATTGATAGAAAAACATTATCTATTAATATCCATAAATTTGAAATAACTTAGTTCTGTGAAATTAAACTACGTAAAGTTCCTTGGACCATTGCAAATTGAACTCCTTGTGTGTACTCATACTTGGAGAGCACTAGGGTTTTTTGTCTTTTTGGAACAGCTCTACCTTAAAAAGTGCAAAGAGAATACAATTCACAAAAAAGGTAGATCAAGACACAGAAAATCCCAACATAATAGCCAAATGAAGTGTACTGTGCACTTGCTTCAATTTTCAGGTGTAACATCTATATTTATAACTGAAATCCTATAGTAATAGTTGCAATAGAGTAGTTATTACACTCTGATGCAAGATCAGCCAAAACACATGCCATGACACTTGGATAGCTCTCCATATGATTAAGTCAAGATAACTTTGTTCATTCTATTTATATGGCATATGATGAGGTGAGACTTATACCTACGAAAATAGGTAAGAGATTAATCTGGTTGACATAACTTGGCAAGAATCTAAAAAGAGAATCTGGCTTGAAACTAAAACTTCAAAGAATGGAAGTGTTTTCCATTATAACAAGAAATGCTATGAGAAAAAAAAAAACAGTGATGGAACTGGCGTTCAGACTAACAGAACCTCATTTAATCATGAGAATAGTATCATGATGAGGCATCTCAATGTTTAATTACTCGGTGCATAGATAGAAATAGAAGAGCCGAATAGGTGATCAAAGTATGAGTGATAATTGTGACGTACCTCATCCAACAGATCATGAGCTTCTTTAGGGATTTTAGATTTAAGGCGAGATATAAGCTCCTGCCTTCGCCAACCTATAAAAATGCGTTCCCCAAGAATGCATCTCCTTATTTTTGCTTTTCTGCAGGCTGACCATCTTTTATATGCTTCTCCTTTGTAGAACTTTCCATAATAGTAGGAAAGCACATCCCCAACAGTCTTACTACCTACAAATCTGCTCAACACATGCAGATTTTTGCCAAAAATATAGAGGCCAAGGAGCAATAATTCTGCTTCCTGATCACTCCAAATGGAAGTGGATGAATTAGGCACTGGAATAAACTGTTCAATTTCTCCTTGATCTGCCATGGCCTTATCAGTGAAGTTTAGACCTTCTTGAGTGGAACATGGAGCCAATTTATCATCGTGTGCTTGATGACTGTCAGATACTATCTGATCAGGTAGCTCTGGATGCGGATCCTGAGATGTTGAACACTGTCCACTTGTGTTATTACTGGTTGGGCAAATTGAGGTCGTTTGGCTATCCCCATCTCTGCTATTTTCTATAGCCTTGGTTTCTGAAGAATGCTGCTTTTGTATTTCCTCTTCCTTCTTATTGAATTCACTTGGTAATGTCCACATAATTGGTATAGGGCAATCATAACCAAGTGCCATGCAACTATCAGTTGTGTTGCTCATGTACTGACGACGCTCATCCTCTGTGGCAAGATTAGGGATCTCTGCTTGGTACGCTTTTCCAGTGCATATACGTGGTGGTAAGTCGTCATCTGTAGCATCTGATTGGTGTCCATCACCGTCTTCTGGCTCAAGTGACTCCATCTATTAAAATTACAAAAAAAAAGAACATTTGTAAAACATTTCACATTGATACAAAAAAAAGTGCATTATCACTTCACCATCAGCACAAATAATTAAATTGTCAATGTACTTTCGAATTATGAATCAGAAGGATGCATCATCAACACAGCTCTTCTTTGTTAACACATGGAAAAACAAAAACAGCTAACTGCAGTAAGTTCAACGCATGTAAAATCTTCTTCCTTTTTAAGCCCAAGTCTAATCTCCTAGAACTCTTATATACTTACATTTTTCCCTATGATGCACCATCTTTTGGCATCTAAAATATACTGTATGCAACAGAAAATGACCAAGTACTAATTTATGAACTTGGCAGTTAGAAACTGAAGCAGAAACATAGTCTACATGGCATCAATAATGTACTATACCTAACTGTATCTACAGTTCTACAAAGTCCCTGAAGTTACCCATTCTCATGAAAGATTGATAATAGAAAACAATGCTTTATAAAAAGGGGTTAAATTTTCCCAGCAACCACAACTCATTTGGAAAAACCTTGCTACTCTCACAATTGCAGCAAAGTTCCCCTGTAATGCAAACATCCATAATGCATTCAAAATGCCGCATAGCAGACGACCACCAAACTTACTTTCCGAGCCCCAAAGCTTTCGGAGACTCGTGCGCATATTCGCATCGTATTGCCGGCAGCAATATGGCTTGCAGGAAGCAAACCAACACAATGTCTGTCATGTATAACCACTGGCTGAGTAGGGTTCATCGTTGGACATAACCCACAGGCAGAATGATTGACGAAAAGAAAAGAAATTTTACCAGCCACCCAACAGATTGAATTACTCGACATCAACACAAATTGCTCACTGGCAACATTGCATCAAAGAGTGCACCATGGCTAGAACCTATCAAGATTGCTCGCGGCATCGGCGAGGGTCTCGTGGCACACAGCTACAACCCAAAACACGAGTAAAATTCGAGCCATGTTGGTAGATACAGGGTCAACAATTGCATTCCGCGAAATCTAAGGCCCGGGCACGGTGGCAACACACCACCACCCGCGACCAACCCACCCAATCCCACCTCCCGCGGCGGCCGCATCCCGTCGAGCACGAGATACCCAGGCGAGCCACGCCCACGCGCGACCACGACACGGAGCAGCAACGGGGGCCTAATCCATGGCGCTCCAAGAACCCGCACGAACGACTAGCACGGACCTAAAAGAAAATCTCGGGGGGAAGGGATGACGTGATCACGGAAGGAAACCACCCACCCACGGTCAAAGCAAGAACACGGGCGGACAAGCAAAGCAGCAGCAGCAGGCGAGGCGAGCTAAAGATTGGAGGGAGGGAACAAGAGCGAGGCGAGGAGAGGAGAGGAGAGAATCACCTTAGCCGCCTCCATGTCCATGTCCATGCACGCACGCGAAGCCGCCACCGCCGCCGACGCCGCCCTCCTCCCGAGCTCCCCCCCCCAATCTCCCCTCGCGCCAACCGCCAAGAACCCCACGCCTCCCCCCCTCCCCCGCGGAGCAGACGGCAGAATCTGGACCACGCGCACGGACAGGAGAGAGCCCCCACAGCCACCACCCCCGCGCGGCGTGATTCCGGACGCGCAGGGACGAGGCAGCGCCGCCCCACGCGACGTTGACGACGACGACCTCGAGACGCGGTGGTGGTGGTGGTGGTGGTGGTGGTTCGGGGCGGAGGCGGAGGCGGAGACGGGGAGGCTTTAAAGAGGAGGAGGAGCAAAGAGAGAAGAGGAGACGAGACGGGGGCCGAGGCGAGAGAGGAAGAGAGAAACGGTGACAGCGAGCGACTGCTGCGAGAGAGATTGGTGGTGGTCACGCCGCGCACACACCCCCCGCCCCCTCGTGGGCCGCTCGCTGCTGGTGGGCTGGGCTTGGGAGGCTGGGCCGTCCTCCGCGCGGAGAGCGTGACGAACGTGGTGGGTGGGGTGCCGCGCGTGGACGACCGGGAACCCGCGGACGGACGGACGCTGGGCCGCCCTTCCCGTGTGCCGTCCGCGTGCGGATGCGGGCGTGTACGCCACGCTATAGCTGCAGCCGCCCAGCGGTTGAACAAGGGGCGGATCCCGGGGGAAATGTGTGTGGTGTGTGTGTGTGGGGGGTGGTGGGGGGGGGGGGTGTTGGACACTTTCACCACAGGTTATGTGAGTTTACGTGAAAAAAGAAATGTATTCGACATAAACGATGAAATCTCGATAGAATTTTCTTTACCTTGTGTTTCTTCCATAGGTTATGTATTACGTGAAAATAAAAGGCATTACAATCAAACGGTGAAAACTTGATAGAATTTTCTAACATTGTGTTTTGGAGCTTTCTTCTTCATTGCTTGGACGATGGTTGATGCTGGTGGACGCTACCGCCGAACCACCGGCTTACGAGTTACGACAGGTGCTCGTCGGGGCTTGGAGGGAGGCATCGGTTGCTGCGGGCTCCGTCTCCATGTGGGGTGGTGGCCGCCAGTGGTCTTCTGGTCCATAGTGAATCCGCGGCGTGGTGGCGGCACTAGTACGAGCCTTGGTTGACGGATCTATGCGGAGGTAAGAGGCCCTTGCAGGTGGGTCTTTTTTCCTCACAAGTAAGAAGAATGTTGTCTTAGATGGGGATGGTGGAGGTTAGGTAGAACTTAGTTTATATAGAGATGAAGGGGATCGGCTAGGCGTGGTGTTTAGCAGATCTACAAAGTGACAAGAAGCCCTTGCGAATACGCCTCGATCCTTTGTTCTTGAGTGAGAATGATGGCGCCTTCGATGGAGATGGAGATAAGGTATCTACAAATGAGTTTATATAGAGATGAAAAGGATCAGCTGGTTGATTGGATCTACATCAAATGGCTATCCAAAGAGATTAAATTTAGCATCAAATAAATGGGCATATGACATCCAAGAATGGCCGTCAACATTCATTTTATTTTCCAGCTCTACCGTTTCTCGAGAAAAAGTATGGTTGTGGAAATGATTGATGTTGGTTTCCAACCAATATCACACCTACATGTGGGCGAGGGGTAGTGGTGTTGGCCACCAACAGTCTTTGGGTCCATGATGAACCCACGGGTGAGGCGGAGGTGCTATGACCACCGTCTTACTGGTTAAGACTAATAACCACCTTCGGACCAACAACTTACAGGTTACGGCCGGTGTTTGTTGAGCTTAGAGAGAAGCGTTGGTTGTTGCGGTCTCCGTTTCCATATGAGGTGGTGGCCATTGACGATATTTTGGTCCACAATGAACCCGTTGCATGGTGGAGGTTCTAGTAGGTGTTGTGGTCGACATATATGTGTGGTGGTAAGAGGCTCTTACTGGTGGACCTTATTTCCTCCTAAGTAAGAATAATGACGTCTTAGGTAGGGATGGTGGAGATTTGGTAGAAGTGTGTTCATATATAAATGAAGGGAATTGGTTAGGCGTCATGGTTAGGGATCTACACGGCAACGAGAGTACCTTGCAGGCAGGCCCACAGCCACTCCACACGTGATCCCCCCTCCCTCGTCCGGATGGAGCAGCGTCCTCGATGGCAACGACACCACCCTCGATGTGGTGGTGGTGGTGGTGGTTCGAAGAATCAGAGTTGAGGTGGAGACGGGGGCTGAGGCGGAGTCAAGAGAGGCTTTAAAGACGCGAGGAGCAAAGAAGAGGAGATGAGATGGGGGCTGAGGCGAGGCGAGGCGAGAGAAAGAGAGAGAACAGTGACAGTGACTACGAGAGAGATTGGTGGTGGTCATGCCACGCACATATGCCCTCGTGGGCCTCTCGCTCCTGGGATAGGCCGTCCGCGTGCAGAGCATGACGACATCGTGCCGCGCGTGCACGACCTCGAACCTGCAAATGGGCGTTGGCTGCGGCTGCCTTCCCATGTGCCGTCTACATGCGGATGCGGTCGTGGACACCACGCTAGTTGTTGCAGCCACCTGATGGTTATGGCTTCGAATAGGCGACGGATTCGAGGGCAAATGTGGGTTCAACACTTCCATGGGTTATCAGCTATTTGGGTTTACTTGATAAAAATGTATTTGACACAAATGGTGAGATCTTGACAAAAAAATTTTGACCTGTGTCTTGGGGCTTTCTTCTCCATCTCTTGGATGATGGTTGATGCCGGTAGCCATTGTCGCCAGACAGCGGCTTACCGGTCAAGACCGATAACAGCTGCCGAACCACCAGCTTACGGGTTACGGCTAATGTTTGTTGAGACTTGTAGGGAGGCACTAGTTGTTGTGGGCTCCATTTCCCTATTGAGTTGTTGCCGCTGAAAGTCTTTGGTTCCATAATAAACCCACAATATAGTAGGCACTAGTAGGTGTCGTGTTCAACGGATCTGCAAGGTGGCGAGCTTTTGCGAGTGGTCCTTCTTTCCTCCCAAAGTACGAAGAATGGTGTCTTAGGTAGGGATGGTAGATATTGGGTAGAAGTGAGTTTATATAGAGATGAAGGGGATTGGCTAGCCGTTGTGGTCAATGGATCTACACGATAATGAGAGGCTGTTGCAAGTGGGCCTCCTTTGCTCTCAAGTAAGAATAATGACGTCTTAGGTGGAGATGGTATAGATTAGGTCTAGAAGTGAATTTATATAGAAATGAAGGTGACCGGCAAGACGATTGGATCTACATCAAATGACTATCGAAAGAGATTAAATCTAGAATCAATTAAATGGACATATCTATCTAAAAATGCCCAACATCACTCATTTTACTTATAAAAACCCCTTAGCTTTCACATGGTGGTGGTTGGTCGAGTCCATGGTAACTCGACGATACGGAAAGGTGCAAGAACACCATAGCCTCCATGTACGTGAGCAACCTTCACCCTCTATTCAAGGCCCCATAGATCGAAGCCCCTACCTAACTCCCTCCCTTGTGGCCTTTTTTTAACCGATTGAACCATTTGGGAATGGTAAACCATCAGAAATAGAAAACAAAAGGATAAACCATTGAAAACATAAATGGTAAAAAAAACAAAAATGTTTGTGTTGTACTACCAAATGTTTTCTTGGTTTATCATATTTTTTACATAGATTATTATGCTTCTAAATACTCCCAATAACCATGGCCCATGTCTCCATTTGGCTCGTAGGCCAACAGGCCATCAACTCTCATTCATGTTAAGTTCCACATGTGATTTTACATTCAATGTTTTCAACTTGAATTTCCATTCTTTGATCGATACAACATGTTCTACCCTAACAAATTTGTTTCTGGCATTTTTTCCATTTTCGGCTCTACCGCTTTCTGAGAAAAAAATGATAGAGGTTGTTTTTCAACCATTTTCAGGCCTACACGTGGAAGAGGGGTAGTGATGGTGGTTGCTGACGATCTTGGTCCATGATGAACCCACGGTGAGGTGGAAGGGTAGTGGTGGTGTCCGCTAGCGGTCTTTGGGTCTATAATGAACCCACAATGAGGTGGAGGTGATAGGATTGTGCAGTGATGAGAGGCCCTTGAAGGTGGGCCTCCTTTGCTCTCAAGTGAGAATGACAACGCCTTAGGTGGGGATGGCAAAGATTAAGTGTAGAATAAGTTTACACAGTGATGAAGGGAATCAACTAGGTGTCGTGATTAATGGATCTGCCTGAGAGGCACTTGCAGGTGGGCCTACTTGCCCTCAAGTGAGAATAACGATTCCTTGGGTGGTAATGGCGGAGATTAGGTCTAAAAGTGAGTTTGTATAGAGATGAAGAGGAACGGCTAGACGGTTGGATCTACAGCAAATGACAATTGAAAGAGAATCAATTTGTTAGCAAATAAATGGACACACACCATCCAAAAGTGCCCAACAACATTTATTTTTTACTTCTAAAAGCCATGCATATGTGCCATCCAAAAGTGCCTTAAAAACATGCATTTTGCTTCTAAAAGCCAAGTGGCTTATCCCATGGTGGTTCTTAGCATGGTTGCATTGTTGGTTCGGAGCAGAAGCGGTGGGTGGAGTTACACCTTTAAAGACAACACGTGGAGCAAAGAGAGAATGAGGCGGACGAGAGATAAGATGGAGAGAGAGAATGGTGACAACAAGCAAGAGAAAGAGGCTTGTGGTTAGGACAGACGGTCTTGTAGGTTGTTGGGCTACCATTGGGCCGATAACATCGTGGGTTGGGCCGGAAAAGGTGGTGGAGGTGATGCATGTGGGAGGTAACAGGGTTGTGTGGACAATGAATGGACATTGGCCTTTATTGGTGTTAACGGCAAAATTTGGCAATTTTTGTTAGTCAAGGTTGAGTCAAAGATGGTATTCACGCCATAATTTTAGTTGATTTGGTTAGCAAGATTATCCACATTTTTGTAATGTACTTCCATGATAAGGAATATTTTTAAGTTTCTATTTCTATAGATAGAATTCTGGGCCAACGGAGTCATATTAAGATCGGGCTCAGATAAGTTTTTCTTTTAGTTTAGCTGATTAGAGTCGTGTCTGAATTGGAGTTGTATTAGTAGTTTCCTTAATTAGAGATAGAGTCCTTAGTTGATCCGATCGTAATAGAGTCGGACTTAGTATAACCTATGGGTATAAATATGTACACACAAGGTCTTTATAAATTAACGACAGTTCAATATATAACTTTTGGCACATCGTCAACCCTAGTTTTACTTTCGACGAGTTCTTGTTTTCAAGTTTAGGCTGCATCAATTTTGATCTCCCGCGAGAAAGTAAGTTCCATCAACTTCGCTTGTATCGGAGGAATTAATACTTTCTCAGTTAAGTCCGATATACTAGTTAAGCTTTGCTTGCATTGCCTATTGGATATATCATG